ACGGGCAGGTGTGTCTGCAGTGGCCCTGATTCTGCAGACAAGGAAGGAAGTCTCTGAACATACCAGTAATTGTCTGGCACCACGCACGTGTCTCAACCCTGCCCCTGACCGTTCTGACATGAGCTATACCTCCCAGCAGGCGCCCCGTGGCCCCACCCAAGATGCTTTGCTGCCCTCTTCTCTGCTCCTCTGGCTTCTGCGTGCAGGACAGCTGCCTGCTGCCTGGGCTACGGTCAGCCCTCATCAGCTTTCCTGCCCGTTCCTCCCTGTGCTTGCAGGAGACCCAGGAGCTGCAGAAGAAGCAGCAGTGGTACCAGGAGAACCAGGTGACCCTGACGGCCGAGGATGAAGACTTGTACCTGAGTTACTGCTCTCAGGCTATGTTCCGCATCCGCATCCTGGAGCAGAGGCTCAATCGGTGAGGGGCTGTTGAGAGCCAGAGGGGGCCCACTAGAAAGCTGGGGCATCAGCTGTGTTACCTCCCACCACCTCTTGCTCCCCCCTCTAATTTCAGACACAAGGAGCTGGCCCCACTGAAGTACCTGGCCCTGGAGGAAAAGCTCTACAAGGATCCACGCCTGGTGGAGTTCCTCAAGGTCTTTGCTTGACGATCTCCTGCTCCTCTGTTCCCTGAATGCCCTTTATGGGACTCAGTTGAAGGTGCCAGCCCCTTGCTCCTACCCTCAGCTAATGACCTGGCCCCACTGCCTTCCACCCACCCACCCCTGCCCCCCAAGAGCCCTGTCTGCCTTGCTTCTCATGATTTCCCTATAAATGAACACACTTTGAACTTGTATTTGCACCTCAGGTATCACTGCACCAGCACCAGCCTTTTTCTCCTTCCCTTCTTTATAGTAGGGGTCCCCCCTCCCGGGCCCCCCCATCCAATTCCCTTGCTTCCCCTTCCCCTTTCCATTGGAATGCTGCAGTATCTCTGCAGCTGGCCCACTGCTACCTTTAAACAGCTAGTCAGGTCTCCATGGGACTAGGGTGGCTCAGCTCACAAAGTGACAATGGTAAAATTCAGAGAGAAACAGACAAACTCCATTTGGGGTGGCGGACAAGGCCCGTTCCAACTGAAAGATCAGAATCATAAAAAAAAAAAAAAACACACAAAATTAGGGGATTGAAACAGAATGAGCTCTAAAAAGCCAACTATGCTGACTCTGTGTGGAAAGTTGACATCTGCAGAGCCATTCCTGAGAAGCTGTCTCACCTGTCTTTGATCTAGCTAAAGGAGCTTTTAACTTCTAATCACTGGCAAAAAGTGCCTAATCTTCAGTCCCTGGGATCCACATGACTTCCGAAACAATTGTTTGCTCCAAGGTTTCTTAAAGAAATGACGGAATTTTTACAGGGAGAATCAGTAACCAATTAAGTGTATCCCAGAACAGGTTAAGCTTGTTATACTAATTCTCTTCTCTCTGTCCACGTATTTCATCTTTCCACAAAAGTCCCCTAAGTTGGTCCCTCCTCAGGGATCCTTCTAGATTCCAACCTGAATCTGTGAATTGCCATTCTTTGATAGGAATGATCATCTAGTTAAGACAAAAATTGAAGATATTTTTAGAATGATACAGGAAATCTCATTTGAGTTAGATGTTAGAGAATATGAGTTCTGTTAGAGGTGGTGGTACAATGATTATATAGGGTAAGGGCCTGTTTTTAAGATCTACATACTTAATACCTAATGTCAGGGGTGAAATCTCACGATGTCTCAACTTTCGCTTGAGTCAGAAAAAAAGTAGACGTATCAGTCAAAGTAAATTGGCAAAATGTTAGCAAATAATGAAAATGTAAACCCATGGGGTAAGTACACTGTATTTTTAAAACTACTATACAACGGTTTTCTTTCAAATTTTCACTTTGAAGCTTTTCATAAGTTAAAAGGGAATATAATGTTAGAACCACTGTTATTTCAATGAAAATATCAGAGAAATGCCAAAAAGTTAAAGGGAACTACAGGGCGGTCCCTTTAAAAGAGCAGCCCATTCATCCATCCACCGAGGTCTCGGCCGTGCAGGTTCCACGCCAGACTCGGGATCTGGCTCCTTTCCACCTGAGGTCTCCTATGGAGGAGTCAAGCCCGCGTCCGAGCCAAAGTAGAGGGGCAGAGTCCTCAGATCACCGTGGCAGCGCCCGGGGGAAAACGGTGGAAGCAGGGATCGCGGCAAAATGCTGATTAAGGCTTCACCCTCGCTTCGCCCCACTCCAAGATGGAAGGCCAGTGGCGTCACCCTCCTCCCGAAGTCCCCTTTCCATTGGATAGCTGGGAGATGGGCTTGCCAATAATGTTGATGCTGATTGGTTAATATAGAGCACTTGCTAAAGCGATTGGTGGAGTCGCAAGCGGAAGGCGTCGCTCAGTGTTTTTCAAATGCAATTTCCCGTTCGAGGACGGGAAGGAAAGGAAAAGCCGGCTGCGGGGGCGGGACCAAGAAAATGGCAGCTCTCATTGGTTCAACAGAGGCTGAGAGGCGGCTCTTGTACGCTCCATGCTTGTGATTAGTCCATTTCGGGTAAAGAGGGCGGGTACTTCGAAAAGCGGCATAAGCGCCTCTTTCGATTGGCCAAGTCTAGCGAGAGGCGGAGTGTCTGCGGCGGCTGATTGGTGAAACAAGTGAGGGAGGCGGGGCTATGACCCGGAGGTTTTGTTGTGAGGGTCGGTTGTCAAGCAGCGTCCAATCAGAGTAGGGGATGGAGGCAAGTGGGGGTCGCCCCTGGAGCAGAGCCTCGGCCTCCCGAGCCGCCGCTGCAGGTAGAGTGGGCAAAGGGGGCGACGAGGCTAGGCCACCGTGGGCGGCGAAGTCGGCCGAGCCAGGCGGGGCGGGGCGGGCGGCGGCGGCGGCAGAAGAGAGGGCTCCGGCAGAGGGGACGCTGGACACCGTGCCTGGCCAGCTGAGAGGAGTGGGAGGATCGGGCGAGGCCGAGGGGCCAACCCCAGCCTCGGGACTGGCGGGACCCGCCTGGGGGCTGGAGGGAAAACCAGGGAGGCCGGAAGCAGAGCTGGGGGTCTGCCGGAGGATGGGTGATGAGTAGGGACCCAAAAAGCAGTGAATGAATGGGGGATACAGAAAGCAGAGGGGGGAAGAAGTAGAGGGGTTCAGAGGAGGCAGGCGCCAAGTCGGGGAGCTCAGCAGACAGGACGTGCACCGGAGCACTGGAGAGGCAGCGGGGGAACCAGCAGGAAGATGCGGAGAGCAGGGGGCTCTCGGGAAGGCGGTGTGGAGGACGGGGGTCATGACCGGGGGAGGTAGCCTTGTATGGTTCAGGAGTCATTCTGACTCGAATCGTGCTGGGGCCTCGTTCCCAGCACTGCCCTTGCGAATCGCAGGGGCCAGGAGTAATTCCCTGGCCACGGACTGGGGAGAAGACTCCTCAGGGCCCTCTTTGTGATTCTCCCCGGAGAAGACTCCAGTGCCTGGCTGTGGGCTGCCTCTCATGGGCCACTAAGCTTAGCTTCTGGCTCCACCCCCTTCCCATACATCAGACAAAAAACAGTGACTCCCAGAAATCTATCTGAACTGCAGACATGTGGTCTTCCCCGCCCCACTGCGGCTGCTGCACTTCAGGTGGCCAGCATTCTGGAACAGACTCCTCCCAGCATCCTGGCCTCCGGAAGGACCTCTTTATTTTCCTGGGTTCCAAGTCAGCCTCCCCCAGGTGGCCTCTCTCCGGCTTCTCAAACCTACTTTGCAGTGCAGCTCCTGGCTCTGGGGTATTGGTGGGTGTCTGTCTTGATTAAGTGGCCTGGATGATGCAGGGAGCTGCAGCCGCAGTTCTGCAAACCCAGGGTCCCCAGGCCACCACTTGGGGTTCCTCACAAGCCATCATCGCCCCTTTGCCTTCCAGCCCGGTGGTGAGCTGAGATGGCTCAAGCCTGACACTCCATGACCCAGGATCCCATCGGACGGACACAGGCTGCTGCTGTGGATGATTTAAAACCGCGAGGTGGTTGGGCCGCAAGACGAGGCATTCCCTCTGCCTGGATGTGTGGGAATTCCCTGCCAACTTGATTGGCTGATCTGGGGGGGATCCACCCCCACCCCAGGAGGAAAGCACTGTCTGCTCTGTGGGTGAAGCTTCGGGTGCCAGCCAGCTGAAGGATGGCCACCCCTGTGGTGACCAAGACCGCCTGGAAGTTGCGTGAGTGGTTTTCATTTTTCTTTCTCACCCCATTTTCTGTTAGCTGCTTCTTGCTTGAGTCCCCGACTTTGTCTCTGGCTTTTTGGTCCAGGGAGGGAGTCCCCAGCCTTAGTGAGAGACCAAGATGCAAATTGTGACTCTGGCCCTTCTTAGCTGAGCGGCTTTGGGCAGGTGTGACGTAGCCTCTCTGAGGCTTACTTTCCTGTCTGTGAGGTGATCACACCTACTTCCTAGAGCTGCTCTGAGATTCAGGTGAGATGATGAGCATAAAGTTAGTGCAGGATTTCCGGTTAGGCTGACCGGTGGATGGGTGAGAAAGTGTGAAAGATGTTCCCAGCATTTTCAGACCTCTCACGAGTCAAGTGCCCCCTGAGATGAGGGCGTCAGGACTGGGCGGGGGCGAGGTGAGCAGAGGGGTGCCAAAAGGGCTCTGGCATGTAGTGGCATGGGCACCCCCAGTATAACAGCACTCGACACTGGCAGTTCCAGGCTCTGCTTGTAGAACTCCTTTATGCTCTTAAAAAGTACTGAAGACCCCAAAGAGTTTTGTTCATAGGAGCTATATTTGTCAGTATTTACCACGTTAGAAGTTAATGCTGAGGCGCTTTCAAACACGGGACTTTGCAATCAAACACTCCATCGGCGATGATGTCAATACCTGTCACGTATCTTCCGGAAAACTCCGCTTGTGAGCAAAGACAGTGTGAAAAGCAGTGGTGGTATAAAAATAGTGGTGATTCAGTGCCCCTGAAGGCAGGGTTCTGCGTTCATGTGTTGAGAGCTGCTGTTCTGCATGTTGCTGCCTCTCTGGGGCTCCCCCACCTCTCAGGACCAGCTGGCATGGAAGTGGCACACTCAGACCCCTGCTGGGGGCTGCCCTGGCTTTGCATGGCTCCACCACTTTTTAACTGAGAGCCTGGGCAAAGCCCCTTGCCGGACCTCAGTGCCTTCAGTTGTAAAATGAGAGGTTTGGGCCAGTTTCAAGTTATTCTTCATCAGCCCAGAGTTCTGGGAGAACCCTGTCATGGGTCACGCCTAGAGTGCACTTTGCACATGGTGACTCTGTTTATTGGGGCTGTGTGTCTGTCCCTTTGACCGCTGGTCTTTCCTGACATAGACACAAGTGCGGGGAAGACAATGGAGGGTGAAATAGATGAGGTCCCTGTGTTCAGGGGGTCAGAGGGTCCCTGAGCCCTGGGGCTCAGCTTGGGGAGAGTGGCAGGCAGGAATCGGGTAACCACACACCTCCACTTCTCTCATCCAGGCTGGGACCTGTGTTTTGACTTGGTTAACTTGATGATGGAGGCTGGGAGCAGGAGAAAGTGTAAGCTGTGCAAACAGCACGTGCAAAGGCCCTGGGGCAGGAAGCTTAATGTCCTGGAAGTAGGCACAGGCTGTGGCACAGCCATGAGGAACATGTGGGGTCACATGAGGTTGCTGAGGTTTTGGGGGGGGGTCGGGGGGGGACACCTGAACAAAGCCCCCAGCTCTTCTAGGCGTTGGATTTATCTGAAAGACCAGGCCTAACCATCAAGTATTTAGCCTGGGGTTTGGGTAACATGACCGGGCGTCGTGTTCCCCAGCTCTGATTGGGACACGTGGCCTGGGTTGTGCCCCCTGAGTTTGGGAAAGTGGTGTGGCCTGTGTCACAGGGCGGAGCCAGCAGCCAGCTGGCTTTCCAGGAGGTGCTGAGACTTCTGTTTATTTGCGTTACAGTTCACTCCCCACAGACCCAAGCCGTGGGTGGAGACTGTCCTTTAGGCCAGAGTTGGGCTCTTGGGCCAGTGCCCTGTGCTCCGGCCTTCTTTACCTGATGCCCGTGCTCTTTCCCCCCACTGCACCCCCACCCCTCCATGGACTCTAGTCAGACTTGGTGAGGCTGCTTAGAGGGCAGGAAAGTGCTTTGAGCTCTTCCAGAAGGGCCCTTCCTCCAAATCGCTGTCATCCCAGAGTCTGGTCCTAGGAGCCACCCCTCAGTCTATCACGGAAGAACCTCACCCCTCTTGCCTCTCACTGCCCCACCCCCCACCCCCCGGAGCTGGGCAGAGCAGGCTGCTGGGGAACATTGTACTATGGACTGTGGGCATCTCCAGGAGCCTGGGGAGGCGGGACCCAGCCAGACCTCGCTTGGGGAGATGAGAGCTGGGGCTGACAGGCCAGTGGCTGGGTCACGGTGGAGGCCAGCTTATGGGGAGTGTCTTAGGGGAACGGCCTGAGGCTTGGGCATGGTGCTCTGGGAGAGGTGGTTTGCCCTTTCTGGGTTGGGCAATCACTTGGGCCCAGCAGATGCTTTTGAACAAACAGGTGTCTGGAGCCAGAGCCCAGAGCCCCGCAGGCGTCTATCCCGACACTCCCCAGAGGACACAAGGCTCCTTGGCTGAGTTAGGGCTAGAGAGCAACCCAGCTCCCTTGGATCCAAATGGCGGGGTCCCCAAAGCCCTAGGTGACATTTGGGGCTTCAGGGCTGGGAGCCACCTGTGCTGGCTCTGGTGTGGCTGGGCCCTGAAGTTGGGTGTCATCGGGGAGGTCTAGCCTGTCACCTGGTCCCCTGGGCAGTTGCCAGGCCCCCTGGCTGGCACTTTCCCAACTTCCCTGTGGCCTCAAGCCCAACAGCACCCCCAGGTGGGCTCTGGAGCTGGAGCGCAGGGAAGCCCTTCTGTGGAACTGCAGAGCCCCAGCCCTCACCCAGGGCTGCCTCCCAGTTGCCTCAGGGCATCTCCCCACTGTCTGGGGGAGACCTGTCTTCTCTCCTCTGCTTCCCAGGGGGAACTTTACTCCGGCACTGAGTGGAGGCCTGGCTGCCTCTTGGAGCCTTGCCCCCCACCTTTTGGCCCACCCCATGCCTTCTGAGGCCTGTATCCGCTGCCCCATGACTGACCGTCCAGGCCAAGGGCCCAAGCTCCAGACTGCCCACCACGGCCAGACCTCCCGCTCTGTCCAGTCAGCCCTCAGTCCCACCCTGGCGCCCAGGGCTCTCCACTGTGCCCCGGCGCCTCCTCACACAGCCTGCACTGCTGTGCCCGCCTGGTCTCCCTGTGGTGACTAACCCTTCGCCTGCCTGACAGCTGGAGGCCCTCTCTCCTACCCAGCGGCCCTCCCCGTGCTCCAGGATCCTCAGCAGCACCCAAGCCAGCCTTTATTATTCCCCACCTCTACCAGACAAGCAGCCGGGGCCCAGAGGGGTGAGTGGCCTGTCAAAGGCCGCACGGCCGCAGTGGAGAGCTGAGGCCAGGACGCGGTCCATGATTCTGGAGCAGGGCTGGCGCCCTGGGCGAGCTTACCTGGAGGCGGCGTGTCTGGAGTCGAGGGGCGTCCGTGGTACCTGACTCCATGTTTTCATCTTTCTTACTATATGACAGGAAAGGTGGAAGTGAACATACCGAGTGTAATTTCATAGCTAATGCTGCTTAAAGGACAGCTGGATAAAAGCAGCCTGTCAGGTTAAAAATTGAAACTAATAACGCAGTCATGGCCCGATGATGTCCAGAGACAGGAAGAAACTGTGGCGCCTGAAGGACAGGAATGGCCGAGTCGAGAGTCGGTTGCTGCCTTGGGTCCAAGCCCTACCTGTCTGCTGGTCCTGCAGCCCATGGGGCACCTGGCACCAGAGGGGAGCCACAGGGGCCAGAGCTGAAGTGGAGGCGAGCAGGGCAGGGCCTGTGCTGCCTCACGGGGCCCGGTCTAGCCCCTGACAGCTTCTCTCTGCCCTTTGTACACAGAGGAGATCGTCGCCCATGCCAGCAATGTGTCCTCACTGGTGCTGGGGAAGGCCTCCGGGAGACTGCTGGCCACGGGCGGGGATGACTGTCGCGTCAACCTGTGGTCCATCAACAAGCCCAACTGCATCATGGTGAGCCTCGCGGTAGGGGCTGGGTCGGGCCTGGGGAGGGCCGGCAGGCAGCTTTTCAGACTGTCTAGGCGCCAGCACCCCCTTGCCCCTATCCTTCAGGGGCCCAGCCTGAGGGTGGGGAGACACAGCTCAACATCAACAGTGCCTCCTCCAGCCATCGGCTCAGGAAGGCCCAGGACACCCCAGAATGGCTGGATGCTGGGGGGCAGCCATTGGGAATGGGGGAGTCTCCTGGCTGTGGGCAGAACTCCAGGCCGCCAGTGCCAGAAAGTTCTGATGAGCCCGCCAGCCCTGAGGCCACCTGTCGGCTCTGTGGGGGTGGGAGGGCGTGTTTATTTTCACTCACCTCCCACCTTGGTCCACGAAAAAAGATGGAGTGCACCTGGTGGAACTGTTAGCGAGCCGCCTTTAACGGCTTCTCCCCGCTGGTTACACAGCTGCATTCAGCACCAAAAAGTTCTGCAAAGCAGAAAGCGTAAGGAGAGAAGGCATGCAGGCATTCATTACTCGCACTTCCGTTACCCGGAGACCCTGGCAGCCGCTATTTCGGTCTGGGTCCTTCTAGGTGCTCATACACACCTTTCACGTGTGTGTGCGTGTGCGTGTGTGCAGAACTGTGCGCACCTACGCGCACGTAACCACCCAACAGCATGTTCAGGCCCTGTCTGACTCTCCCGGAGCCCGGGTTTTAAAATAACAACATGTGAGCATTTTCCTGCATCAGCCAATATTCCTCTGCAACGTGCTTTTTTTATTTTTTTATTTTTATTTATTTTTTTTTATTTGTTCATACAGAACTGGGGTACAGGCCAGAGACTCAGGGGCGGTGAGAGGATTCACCAGAGACAGAGTGGGGAGCAGAACAGGCAGATCGATGAAGCACACTGCTGAGGGGAGCAGCGGGCGGGTCAGGAGAGGTCTGCCGCGCCATGTGGGTCACCTCCGGGGCAGGTGGGAATCGAACTCATGTGAAGTGGCTTTAGCTTCTCAGTGCTGTGCTTTAACCCGCTGCGCCACCAGGGAGGGCCACAACGGGCTTTTAAATGACCCCGTGGCGTGACAGGAGCGGGCCAGAACTAACTTGGCCCGGCCCTGCTCCCAGCATATGGAGGGCATTTCCAGGGTCGGGCTCAGCCACAGCGATCGACAGCCTCGCCTCGCTAAACCTCCAGCAGATCTGTGGCCATTAGGACCAGCCCCGGATGTGCTTTTTACAAAGCGTTGGAAACGCACCGCCTAATGGCCAGCCAGGAGCTGACTTACACTGGCCGCCGCGGGCGGCTGCCCCCACCCTTAGAGCAGAAGGAGTTGTCATTCTGGGGAATCTTGGCCAAGTCAAGAGGGGTGGGAGGTGATCACCTCGGTGTTTTGGGGAGACCCAGTGACCATCTGGGTTTTGCCCTGAACCACGGCCAGGGGTGAGACCAGAATAAAGATTGTTCTTTGCCACTGTTTTTAGGGTTCCAGTGAGCTCCCTCCTAAACTCTCTCCCCCTTGTCAAAGTAACATGTACAAGGTGAGAAAGAACCAGGGACGTGAAGTGACCTGTGCTCCTGCCCCTGCAGAGACACAGCAGTTGGGGGCTGGCCTCATCCAGTGCCTGTCCCCCCTCATCACCACAGAGCGGGCCCCTCAATGCCCCCCTGCCCTGCCCAGCCCAGCCCATCCTCTCCTTATTTTAGGCCTCGCCGCCCCTCAGCCGGTGGTCCACCGGGAGCTATTTTTGAGCACGTGTGAACTCAGTTTCACTTCCAGATGATCTGCGGAAAACTGAAGTCTCCCATCTCCCCCTGACCCCACATCACTCCCTGGGGACAACATGGCTCCTGATTTCCGTTGCCCGCTCCCCCCCCCCGCGCCCCCATGATTTTACACATTTGTGAGCAGTTATGTCTGTCTTCCCGAGCCCCCCTTTCTTCATACCCTTGACCTCGTACCTCACACCTGCCCTCTAGCTTTTCTCTCTGAGAGCATCACGGGGACTGGACGGTGTTGTAGCTGGAGTGCAGCCTCATTCATTTATCTGGCCGAAAGTGTCCGTTGCGTGGGGGGCTGTGGGGACCACAGCTTATACCCAGCTTCCCGTCACAGGCATGTCTCTTGTCACAACCTGCTGTCCAGCCATCCCTGCGGGGGGAGCCCAGGTCTATGCCTCGTGTGTGAGTGTGTGGAGGGGCAGCTGTGCGGTGGAGTTTCTGGGGTGCAGGGCATGTGTAGAGACAGTGGTGTCCAGGTGTCGCCGTGTCTGAGTGGCCAACGGCAACGGGTGGGCTCAGGACCTGGAACTTTGAACCCGTTGACACGCCACACTCCTGCCAGTGGGGTTTGGAGCCAGACAAGCTGCCTGTAACTGTATGTGGGGGACTTCCGCAAGGAGTCATGGTCCCCCATCGCCCCAGCCCCTGAGGGGACGTCACCTAAGCCAGCACTGAGGGAGCCGGCCTTGGGGCAGTACGGGGCAGGGGTTGCAGACGCGTGGACTTCAGATGCAGCCTCCTCTCCAGACAGCCGGAAGTGCCGGCCCCTCCCACCCCTCCCAAGGAGCAGGGCCTGGGGCCTGGGCTCAGCTCACCAGCTGCAGCCCGTTCCATCTCGCCAGCGTGCCCCTGCCTCCAGCCTTCGTCCCCCAGCGTCCTCCGGTGGGGGCCGCCCCCAGGGGTGCTGGCTTTCCCCAGCGAGGGTGAGGTGTGTGTCGCTGCGCAGCCAGGCCCTTGTCCTGCCTTGGTCCCCTCCTGAGGGGCTTGAGCCAGGCTGAGAGTGGAGGTGGGAGCAGAGCCGAGGCAGGCGTGGTTTGGACTCAGGGTGAAAGGGTCAGCGGTTCCCTGCCGCCTGGGCCCCCACCTCTGCAGGTGACACCCACGTGCAGGGCCACAGCAGGACCGGGAGGGCCGCAGGTGGGGGTGACGGGCCCGGCCCGCCGTTGACCCTGGGAGCCAGGGCTGAGGGGAGCAGGGGAGCTGGTGCGGCCTCTGACGCAACCTGCCCGCCTGAGAACACGCTCTTCCCGGGAATCCCGGACCTGGGGCAGCCTCCGGGGGTCAGTCCGTGCAGGTGCTGAAGCCGCCCCCTCTCCCCACAGAGCCTGACGGGTCACACGTCGCCAGTGGAGAGCGTCCGCCTCAACACCCCCGAGGAGCTCATCGTGGCGGGCTCCCAGTCGGGCTCCATCCGCGTCTGGGACCTGGAAGCTGCCAAAAGTAGGTGCCGCTTGCTTGCCCCACGGCTGTGCTGCCCTCGGGCTGTCGCGCGCTTTGCCGCTTCCTTCAGGAGCCTGCCCTGCCAGGCTGGCATGCCGGCCAGGCCCCGTGGCTCCCGGGGACCCCCACCCCGTGTCCGTGATAGCTGGCAGCAGCACAGAGGGGCCCCGGGCGGTGTCTGAACGGCCGGCGGCGAGGCCGGGTGGGGTGTCTCTGTGGGCTCAGGCCCTGGAAGGACATCCCATGCCGCAGGGCTCGCAGAAATGCACCAGGTGGTCCTGTCGGCAGAGCGGGGGGGGCCGGCGGCCTGGCTCGGGGCCGGCGCCACGCGGCCCCACCTGACAATGGTTCTCACCTCGCCTGGAGTTGCACATACACGGTTTTACAGGCAGGTGCTGGGAGTGCGCCGTGATCACCCCTGGAGGAAGCCGCCCCCATCCCCACCCCGGGGCCTCCGCTCACTCCCTGCCGCCTCTGCTGAACAAGGTTCAGCTGCACTTCTGCCCTCTTGCAAGTCACCTGCTGTCTTCCTGCGATGGGGGAGAGGTGGGCGGTCACAGAGCTGCCCCCAGCTCTCACCCACGTTTCCTCTCCACCCCGCCCCCACATCACCTTTTAAATAGTCAGTGTTTATATGATGACCTCGTAGGTAACAGTCATGGCTGAGTTTCTGTCTGTCTTTGTATAACTTCGCTGCCCTGGAGTTAGTTGTTTTTCATCGGCACCTTTTCCGTCTCGTGACTAATTCAACCCCAAGTTCTCTGCCAGGAGTACAGCTGCCATCCCTCAGACCCCCTGCCCCAACTTGCCCCCCCCACCTTGGCGGCTTGGGAGCCTGAAGGGCCCTCCCTGTCTCATCTTGGGGGGGCTCTTTCATCTCTCTGCCTCTTCAGGCCCCAGGTGTCAGGTGTCTTGGTTTTCTCCCTTATTTTGGAGGGTGCGGGAGGGGCCGCTTTAGAGACCTTCCATTGGCGGGAAATGGCCTCGTTGGCCCGTGCCTCTATGGGGAATATTGCCCTCAGCTTTCGGCAGGTGCCGCTCCTTTGCCTTTCAAGTTCCAGGGTGGCTGTTGGAGGCCAGTGCTGCCCCCTGGCGCCCTGGTGTGGGACTGCTTCTCCCTCCTCTCACTTCTCTGCAGGCCGGTCAGGTCTTTGTGCCAGCATTCACGGGCGTGGGTGGGTCTGTTTTCATCCCTGTGCCAGGCTGTAGCTGGGTTCTTCCAATCTGTAGATCTGGGCACATGGGTTGTCTCACTTTCCTTCAAACTGGGGGCTGCCTCTCACTCAGCCCACATGACTGGAGTGCAGTGTTGCCAAGAGAAGCTTGGCTCTGACAGTTTATTTAATTTTTTAACGATCTATTTATTTATGCATACGGAACTGGGGAATAGGCCAGAGGTGCAGGGGCAGTGAGAGGATTCACCAGAGACTGACTGGGGAGAACAGGCTGACTGATGAAGTACACTGCTGAGGGGAGCAGTGAGCGGGTCAGGAGAGGTCTGCTGTGCCATGTGGGTCACCTCCGGGGCGGGGATCGAACTCACACAGAAGTGGCTGTGCTAGCTTGCAGTGCTGCGTCCTAACCCATTGCACCACCAGGGAGGGTGGGCCTGGACTCTGGCAGTTTCTGTGGCATTCACCCATGCCCATGCCAACAGCTGGTTGAGCATCACTTCAGAGCACTGCCCGTGGCCAGGTTTGTTCTGCCCTAGGACCGTGATCTGCTTGTGGGGCCTCAGGAAAGGTGGCGCTCCTGGCCTCTGGGGTGATGGCGTCCCTCTGGTCACCTTCTGTTTGAGAAAGCAAGGGCCCCAGGATCTTTCTGACAACGGGCTGTGTGCCTTGGGTCTAGGGCGTGGCACCCCGGCCTGGCCACGCAGAGGACAGGGGACCGCCGTGCTCGGACATTGCCGGGCTTGAGGGCCAGGAGGAGCAGATGGGGCTGGCTGGGCTGCCGAGGCTGGTCAGAAGGCAGTTCACGTCTGGGGAGGCCTGTACCTGCCGCGTTCATTAAGGGGAAGGGACGAGAGAAAGGCCAGGGACACCGCGACTATTTCAGTCCTCATGGGAAAGTGAGGAGGTCCTAGAGGTGGCAAAGAGCGAAGACGGAAGGCTTCTGGTGTTGTGCCGGGTTTTGAGTTTCCCAAAGACCACCAAGGAGCCGATTCTGATGCAAAGCACACGAGGGTCTTTATTGCAAGCTTGAGCCTGGGCTACCAACATGCAGCGGCCGAAGTTCCGAAGTTGAGAGCCCCGAGCTCAGCGAAGGCAGGGTTGTTATTACAGAAGAGGGGAGTTTCAGCTCAGCAGAGGGGAGTTTTAGCTCAGCAGTGCATTGATTGGTGGACATTGAACAAGGTTATCTTGTCTTAACCCGGTTGGTCTATGCATGCAAGATGTGACCTTTGCTAATCGGCCCGCATACCTTGGACACCTGGCGCTTTCCTGCTATGTGCTGGTTACTTGCCTACTTGCTAATCGGCTGTTGCTACGGGATGAGCAAGATTAGGACATTTACAGTTAAACTCGGCCTTGGCGCCTTGTTGATAACGGAAACTTAGGCCTGGCTGGTTCAGCAGCATTCTGAAGCCTGTCATGGCGTCCGTTTGGTCTTTCACTGGAATCCTGGGCTCAGGACTCCGGGCCGGCTGTTCTTCATTTACTGACACATGGCCCAGACCCCTGGCTACCCTAGCTCAGGGCGTGGCCCAGAATCTGGCTTCCAGGTGATTCTGATGCAGAGGAGCCACGTTAGCAAACTGAGAGATGGGCTACTGACACCTGGGAGGCCGCCGAGCTTGTTAAAGACGGGGTGGCCGGGGCGCGGGGCTTGGTGTCAGCACCCCCGCCGGTGCTTGCCACTGGCCATGCTGCTCTGAATCTGGGGGGCTGTCCCGTGAAGAGACTCTTGCCCCTCAGGCCCGCCCCCACCCACCACGGCGTGAGCGAAACCACGTGAGCGGCACACTGGCGCCCACTGCAGGACGTGTTCTGGCGGCTGCTTGGCCGCCATGTTGCTGCCCCGAAACACGGCCTGTGTCAGAGAGATTCAGCAGGAGGCCAAGCAGCCTCTGGGCTAGCGGGTTTAGGGGATGCGGCAGGCGGGCCTCAGCCCCCTCCCCTGGGCAGTTCCTGATCCCCTAATGGACTTGGCGTCGGAGGCCTCCCAAGGGCCTCCTGAGCAGCGGCGCACAGGCGGAGGTCACGCAGAAGAATGTGGTCCCGCCTGCTCTCCACCGCGCAGCCGGGGGCCGAGGGTGGGTCAGGGCTCCCACAGAAAGGAAGGGCACTTCGCAGGACAGCCCACACGGGGCGGGCCCTGCCGCGTCCTCTGGGCAGCAGCGAGCCAGCAGGGCGCAGAGCACGCGGACTGGCACGGATGCGAGCGAGCCTGCCGCCTGCGGGCCCTCGGCTGCCCAAGGCCGCCTTGTCCAGCGGGGCAGTGCGGAGCCCTGGCGGCAGAGGACAGCTCCAGAGACCCGGGAGGGCAGCCGCTCCGGTTTTGGTGACTTGAGTCACCGACTGGGCAGATGTACGGGAGCCTCGTCACCCTCAGTGCAGGTGGTCGGGGCGGCTCATTCCCAGCCCGGCGCCCCTCACGGCCTGCCTGCCGCGGGGGGGGGGCTCCCTCATGGACCCCGACCCCTGGTGCTCCTGGCCCTGTCCTGGGAGCCTTGGACAGATGAGCCCCTCGACCAGGTAGCGGGTTGGCTCGGTGCTGCTGGAGAAGCAGCTTGGTTTCCATTCTGGCTCGTGTTGACCGACCTCAGGCGGCTGCTTCATCTGTGCATCCGGCCCTGGCCCCCTCCTGGCACTGCAGGGGTTCGGGGAGAGCACATATGCGCACGGACCCTTGCCTCCTGACCTTCCCGGCAGAGGCCGAGTGCACCCCTTGGGAAGGTGGCATCACATGACCAGGAGGTGGGGGCCGAAATAACGAGCTCGGAAAATGTCCTTTAACAAGCTGGGAAAAAGCAAAGCATCCAGACATCCAGACAGAGGTGGGGATGTGAGACTGGGGGCCTTTAAAAACAAACTCCCCAGTCCTTTCAAATACACTCAGTCAAAGCAGAGCGTAGAAACATGGTCGGGTGCCAACCCTAGAAACAGCTAACAAGAGTTAACCGTTCCACTGCTGATGAAGCTCTCCCACGAAGACTGCGCCAGTGCTCTCTGCCCCAGCACCTCAGAGGTCTCCAGGACCCCCTCAAGATCCCTTGGACCGGACTGGTGTGAACACCAGGGCCACCCAGACGTGCCCACCGCTTCCCTCTTCCTAAAACCCTTCACCCACGAATTATTGCTTCCTGGATTCTCTCCTCCACCAGCAGCCTCTTCCCCAGCCTGAACATCCGCATCCCTGTCCTGTGCCGTCTTGGGTGTGGCGTGCACCCAGTGCTAAGCTGCACGCCCCTGGGGTCTGGTCCCCGAGCTGTTTCTGCTGGCGCGGGACCTTTGCTCTCGGGGAGTGTGCAGGAGGGGGCTTGTTGGGGGTCCAGGTAGTAACAGGATGACCGTCTTCTCTCAGATGGTAGTAAGCTGCTGATTACCCTCCGCCCCCCATTTTAGAGCTCTTAGCTGTTCGGTGCGGTGAATGGCGCACGCACACACGTGAGCACAGTGGCCGCCCTCCCCTGGCCTTCTCGTCTGCCGCTCACACCGTCGTCTGCTTTTTCTCGGTCAGTTCTTCGCACGCTCATGGGACACAAAGCCAACATCTGCAGCCTGGATTTCCACCCCTACGGCGAGTTTGTAGCGTCGGGTTCCCAGGACACGAACATCAAGGTGAGATGCCGCTCCGGGCCCCGTGTCCTGCTGGGGGAGGGGCCTTGGCGCCGTGCGGGCGCCTTCCCTCTTGCTGGCAGCGGCCACAGCCTCCCAGGGAAGCATCCGTCAGCGTTTCTGCTCACCCGACTGCCCGTTTTGGTGAACATTCTGCAGACCCTTTCGTTCTGGGGGGTATGGCCTGGCTGGACTCTGCCCTCCAGCCCAGGCCCACCTTGGCGGTGACCGCTCCTGACTCTGCCCTCGTACCCCTCTCCCACAGCTCTGGGACATCCGGAGGAAAGGCTGCGTCTTCCGATACAGGGTAAGGCAGGCGCCCCGCTCATCATGTCACAGGCACCCCCAGGCGTGGAGATGGGGTGACGTCCAGGCCCTGGCTGGGGCTGGTGGGAGGGGACTGTGCTCCAGTGTGTGTGAGAGCATGAGACATGAGAGTCTAAATGAGAAAGAGGAAGCTGAGTGGCTATGCCTGGGGAGGGGGGTCCACCTCTACCCCCAACTTTCCATGCATCCCCCCAGAGCCCAGGCATCCCCCCAGCGCCCAGGTATCCCCACCTGTGCTCCCTGTTCTGGCTTTGCAGACAGGTAACAGGTGCCATCAGGTGAGGGAGGTTCTTACTCACATGAGTTCAGTGAAGAATCATTTGTGGCGACGTTTAGACCCTTGGACGTGAAGAGAGGGCCTTTAATTCTCCCAGAGGCATAAGAGACGTGTCCCAAACTATGTGTTTATACATGCCTGACCCCTGGAGCGCCCTACGTACCGGGAGTCCTTGCCACAAGGGGGAAGTGCCTACCCCGATGCCCACACGGGGCTGGTTGCCCCTCTGCCTGTGCCCCAGGGCGCCCCCGCTTGCCAGGCAAGGGATGGTGGAGGGGGGTGGGGAGAGAAGCCCCCACCGTGGGCCCTTGGGGGAGCCAGCACTCCGTCCTCTCTCAGGGGCACAGCCAGGCCGTGCGGTGTCTCCGGTTCAGCCCCGACGGGAAGTGGTTGGCATCAGCTGCAGACGACCACATGGTGAAGGTAGCTGCTGGCCGGCTGGCCCGGGCGGCGGTAGGGCTGGGCCTGTTGACCGGACCCTGGGCCCCGAGTCTCAGGCCTTTCCAGAACAGGGCGGGGCAGGGGGAGCCAGGCCGAACTGGAGGGAGGGGGCAGCGGTGCCCGGCCTCGTCTTGACCTCCACGCTGCCCTGACCGCCCAGCTCTGGGATCTGACTGCTGGCAAGATGATGTCCGAGTTCCCCGGCCACACGGGCCCTGTCAACGTGGTGGAGTTTCACCCCAACGAGTACCTCCTGGCTTCTGGCAGTTCCGACAGGTGAGAGGGGACAGGCCTGCCCCCCGCGACGGCTGTCCCTCGCCCCCTTTCTCCTGTGTGTCCCCCACGTGGCGCTCTGTCCCGGGGTGTCGTATGCCCGATGACCCCCGTCACGCCGGCATTGGCGCCTCCCCCTGCCTGGGCCCCGGGTGCTGCTCCTGCGTGGCGTGTTTGGGCCAAAGCCCCGCTCGCCCTCCCCGTGCCAGGCCCCAGCAGAGCGGGCGGGACACTTGGGGGAGCTGTGCTGAGAGAGAAACTGGGCCCCCGGCATAACCTGGCCGCTGTTGCAGGACCATCCGTTTCTGGGATCTGGAGAAATTCCAGATGGTGAGCTGCATCGAAGGGGAGCCAGGGCCCGTCAGGTATGCCGGCGGGCGTGAGCCGGCCGCTCCGCGGAGCGCGCCGTGCACCCCTGCTCCCGCTGCCTTCTGTCCTGGGCGCCCCTCAGCCTCCCTGGGTTTCTTGGGACCCACAGCCACCTCTCGCCTGGCCCAGGAGCGTCCTCTTCAACCCCGACGGCTGCTGCCTGTACAGCGGCTGCCAGGACTCGCTACGCGTCTACGGCTGGGAGCCCGAGCGCTGCTTCGACGTGGTCCTCGTCAACTGGGGCAAAGTGGCCGACCTGGCCATCTGCAATGACCAGCTGGTGAGAGCGCCGCCCACCCCCCGCCGTCTCACGGGTCTTCCCGACACCCCCCCCGTCCCTCCCCTCCAGCCCAGCTCTACCCTTCCTGCAGATAGGCGTGGCCTTCTCCCAGAGCAACGTGTCGTCTTACGTGGTGGACCTGACGCGGGTCACCAGGACAGGCACGGTGGCCCAGGACCCCGTGCAGGACAGCCAGCCCCCGGCACAGCAGCCGCCCCAGACCAGCGCCCCGCTTCGGCGCATATACGAGCGGCCCACCACCACCTGCAGCAAGCCGCAGAGGTAGGCGCCCCCGGCCCAGGTGCGGCGCTGCGCGGGAGGTGGCTGTGTCCCCGGGAGCCTTGGCTCACCGGGGGGCCCCGGCTTCCCTCTGGCCCTGCGCCCCAGGGTGAAGCAGAACTCGGAGAGTGAGCGCCGCAGCCCCAGCAGCGAGGATGACCGGGACGAGCGGGAGTCCCGGGCAGAGATCCAGAACACCGAGGACTACAACGAGATCTTCCAGCCCAAGAACAGCATCAGTGAGCCTGGGCCCGCCCCTGCGCAGGGGGCGGACGGACAGAGGGACAGGAGGGAGGGGGGTCGGGAGGGACGTCGGTTTGGAGCCCTGCTTTGGGATAGAAAGCGGGGTCCTGGGGTGAGTGACCCCCGAGGGGAGCGTCCTCAGCGCCCGCTTCCAGCGGCAGTTTCCCACGAGGCAGAGACATCCCGTTACATCCAGGAGGGCAGGTGTATTGTGGAAAGGGGGGGAAGCGAGCAGCCCCCGCGAAGGGGCAAGCTGGACAGAGGGGCCGCAGAGTCCCAGCGGGCTTTGCCCCGGGAGGTGGGTGCAGCGACGGCCGCATCTGGCAAGTGTAGAAATGGCGGAGTTAAGTGTTAACTAGGGGTGGTGTCAGGATTTTTCTCTATTTGGGTGTTGAGGCCGGTTTGGAGAGGTGCTGGGTCCCGACCGCGGGGTCCTGGGGTGACGTCTGGGAGAGGTTTCACCCGAGCTCCCCTTCATGGGCAGCGGCGAGTTTCTCCACGAGACAGAGGCGTTAGTTGTATCCAGAAGGGCAGGTTTATTAGAAAACGGGGGAGAAAAATTAAGGACACTTGGACTGATCACAGCGGGCAGAAAGACGCGCCCCCGAAAGGGACAGTCTGGTAAAAGAGGGGCCTGCGCGGTCACAGGCGGGCAGGGGCGGGGCCCTCCCAGGGCAGAGATCCCCGATTCAGCCGTCTTCCTCGGCATGCCCGTGTGGAGTGGTCTTGCGTCGACCTGATGACCTCCAGGGTGTGACGGGGTTGCTGTGTAAGGACGGGGGATTCTCTACAGTGGCCCCCGCCTCCGTATCTCCTGGCCTGCATCCCGAGACCACCTGTAACAGCCTGAGACCTGTGATCTCGGTTGGCCGCTGGTTTAATGACTAACTGAACCACTTCCGCCCCCTCCTCGGGTTTCTGGCCTTAAGGGGCGGGGCAGGGCGGGCTTCTCACCCTGCTCTCCTCACTCACTCCTGTGACTGCCATCTCCCCGGTTTACACAACGGCACATTCACACCCCTTTTTTTAAGGCCGCACGCCACCCCGAAGGACTGAGCCTTTCCCAGCACCCCCAGAAGATGGTGAGTTCAGGCCCACCCCGCCCTGATCGCTCGGGCCAGGCCGCCCTGTGAGGAGGGAAGGGGCCCCGGGGTGCAGGCCCCACGGTGACTGCTTGGTGCTGGGGTTTTGCTGCTGGAGGCTTTCAGGGAGAAACCACCACCCACTGTCCTCCATGGCACCCCACCCCGCCACTGGCCCCGTCTCCCGTCTCCCTTCTTGAGGCTTCTGAGGGCCTCTCAGGGCCTCTCCCTCCTGCATGTCCTAGCGCAGCGATGGGGCTGCCGCTCCCCGCAGCTCCCCGCAGCTCCCCGCAGCTCCCCGGGCCCCATGCACACGCAGCCCTAGCCTGCTCTGTCAGATACGGGCAGGTGAGCGGGAGGGGTGGGCACAGCGCTCCTGGCACTGCTCAGGGCTCCCTCCCAGCTGCCCCACCACCTCCCAAACCGTCACCCCCAACTACATACACCTGGCCCCCCCACCGGTCCCATCCACTGACCCCAGCCAATGAACCTTTGCTTGTGTCCACAGACGTGGCCATAGCCAAGGAGGCAGCCAAGGCCGCGGCCACAGCCAAGGAGGCAGCCAAGGCCAGCCCCGCTGTGGACACGCAGTTCCCGGTGCCAAACGTATGTCGGGCCGGGGCAGGCCTGGGGACGGGGGCGGGAGTGGGGGGCGCTGGAGGCCTGAACCAGCGCGGAGGGTCTCCCGCGCCGGGGGGCCTCGGGAGCCCCGGGCTGGCCACCCACTGAGCTCCAAACCCCTCCAGCTCGAAGTCCCGCCCCGGCCCCCCGTCGTCACCTCCGCCCCCGCCCCCAAGGCCGAGCCTGCCATCATCCCTGCCACCCGAAACGAGCCCATCGGGCTGAAGGTGTCCGACTTCCTGCCCGTGAGTGGGGAGCCCAGCCCAAGGGCGGGGCGAGGGCTGGAGGCAGTGGGGGGACTTCGCTGCCAGCCTCTGGGCACCTGTTCCGCCAGGCCGTGAAGAGCCCCCAGCAGGCGGAACTGGTCGATGAGGACGCCATGTCGCAGATCCGCAAGGGACACGACACCATGTGTGTCGTCCTCACCAGCCGCCACAAGAACCTGGACACCGTGCGGGCCGTGTGGACCACGGGGGACATCAAGGCAAGCCCTGCCCTGCGCTGGGCTGCCCCGGGGAGCTACTGGGGGGGGGGCGGGGGGCCCTGGGCACCACCCCCGGTGGGCTGCTGGCCTCACAGGCTGCTTGTGCAGGCCTGGGGGTGCTCGTCTGGATTACAAACAGCGCGCGGCAGACCCCACAGCCTGGCCAGGCCCCCTCTGGCCCCAGCCCCCTAACGGTTCTGTCCGCACAGACGTCGGTGGACTCGGCCGTGGCCATCAATGACCTGTCGGTGGTGGTGGACCTCCTTAACATCGTCAACCAGAAAGCGTAAGTGGCTTGGGGGGGGGGAGGGGGCGGGTGGAGTGGGGCAGCGCTGAGCACGGCTTGCCCTCTCCCCAGCTCCCTGTGGAAGCTGGACCTGTGCACCACCGTCCTGCCGCAGATCGAGAAGCTTCTGCAGAGCAAGTATGAGAGGTAGGCCGGGAAGCCGCACCTGCCCCTGGGGAGGGCGGGCGGCACTCCTGCAGGGGCCGCGGGGCGCCCGCGGTGCCCTGGCGCGGCCACTGCGCTGCCGCCCCCTCCGAGCCCGCGGAGCCGGGGAAACAAGCCCGTGCCCCCCCGATCTGCCCTTGCCCCCGTTTTGGCTCTTCCGTCCCTGAAGCTACGTCCAGACGGGCTGCACCTCTCTGAAGCTGATCCTGCAGCGCTTTCTGCCCCTGATCACAGACATCCTGGCCGCCCCGCCCTCCGTGGGGGTGGACATCAGCCGGGAGGAGAGGTGAGGGCGCAGCCGCCGGCCTGTGCTGGGGTACGGGGCGCGCCCGCGATGGTGCTGGAGGGGCCGCTCGGGGTGGGGGTCACACCCAGGCTCCTCCGAGCCCGGCCGGGCCCTCTGCGCCGGGCCCCGCCGCCCCCAGAGAGGGGTGGACACGAAGGGCCAACAGGGCCCTGGCCGGCCCGCTCCCCTCACGCTCTGCCCTCCGCCTGCAGGCTGCACAAGTGCCGGCTCTGCTACAAGCAGCTCAAGAGCATCAGCGGCCTGGTCAGGAGCAAGTCGGGCCTGAGCGGCCGCCACGGCAGTGCCTTCCGCGAGCTGCACCTGCTCATGGCCAGTCTGGACTGAGGACACCAG